TCCCTTTGTATATTCTTTTCGCTGAGTGGATAAAATTATTGATATTTTGGAGTGGGGATTTATATAAGAAATTGGGGAGAGTGCTTCTGGAATAAGCTAGAATTGATTACATACAGGATGGATTTTTGAAGGTTCTTTAAGGAAGAATATTCCATATTGTTTAGAGCTGAAGCTTAATTTTCGGTTAAGGAGACTTGTTTAAGGAAGAATAATCGATTAATTATTCACCTGCATTTGTGGGATATAGTTGCAGCAAAATTTAAGGATTATGAAGATGAAAGATTTGCTCTTCCATGGGTGTATTTGGATGTTAAGATAGAAATGATTGATAAATTGATTGGACCTTTGTTTTTACAAGGAGATCTGCGTAGTTCAAGATGGTTACAGCCTTACGGTCTTTTTCTCTTTGTTTATTGGGTACAGTATTTAATGATACAAAAATTTCATTGGGGATGTTGCACGAATCTATATATTGAATGCAACATACAATATATGCATTCCACTCAACTCAAGGGGAAGAATCTATCCTTTCCTACTCTTGTGGGCAGAGTTTATCAGTATTGGAAAGCGGCACTACCCATACGGGTTGGAAGGAATTAACCCACTTTTTGTTTCGTACAATGAGATTAGATTGAATTAATATGGGAAGAGTGGATTGTATTGTTATGATAAAATCAAAATAATGTATGTTATATGTGTTTGTTAGTTCAGATAAGATAATATTTAACTCCCCACAACATTTGTTTCTCTTGATAACTCAATGGATAGAATTGTGCATTGTCAATTACTCGAGTTTGTCCATCTCCCTAATTAATATTTATATTTTTTTATTCTTTTCATTACCCCCCCTTTTTTTTTCCTTTTCTTCTTCCTTATGTTTCTTCACTAGATCAAGTCCATTTATATGTCGGGTCGTGTCCAATCTGTCAAGCCCTAAACGTTGCAAACGCATGATTCTGGGTAGATAAGAGGCCTAATCTCATCAGTCTACCCTAACGAACATGCTCCTAAATTAGAGCATCGCGAATCAAAACAAAATAGCTACACAATTTTTTCCATTTTAGGTTTTTTATTTACCTTTTCTTTTGTAGAAGAAAAAAATCTCAGATTCACGTCGACTCGTCCTATATGGTTGTTCGTAGTCTTTCATTTATGCCAATGTTAAAACTGGACAAGGCCTTGCCTGGCAATCCGAAAATCTTTAAAATCAGCCAAGAATATCATCTAATCTATTCTCAAAATTTATTAACTACTCACAAGCTACAATATTCCGTCACGACACAAAACATAAAAAAAAAATGGGGCATAATTTACACCATAACACTTCTTAATCATGGGACCCGTGACATACAATGTTGATGCACCATATACCAAAAATTTATTTAAATAAATTAAATATAAATTAATGAGTAAGGCGGCTTAACCTATCGACTCATCATACTCCATGAACAAAAATATATACTTATAATATCAAATATCATACTTTATTATATTTTTATTTATGATGTTCATTAAAGTATGTGACAGAAACTAGGGGAAAACGAGTGCGGTCCCACTAAACATGAAGTGCACCATGACAAGGGAAAGTCCATATGAAGCCCAAGTGGGGTTGCATCCCAAAACCAATTGGTGGAAGAAGGAGTAGCCCATTAGACTTATAAAGTGAGTCTATTTTCCATGTATGAATGATGTGGGACAACTCACAAGTGATATTCTAACACGCCCCCTCACTTGTGAGTCCTTCGAAAGCCCAAGACCAACATGTATGAACGATGTGGGATAACTCACAAGTAATATTCTAACACGCCTCTCACTTGTGAGTCCTTCGAAAGCCCAAGCCCAAACCCAACTGGGCTGGGTGACGGGTACGTCATCGCACGGTCACCAATAGAACCGGCTCTGATACCATGACATAAACTGGGGGAAAACAAGTGCAGTCCTACTAAACATGAAGTGCACCATGACAAGGGAAAGCTCATATGAAACCCAAGTGAGGTTTCATCCCAAAACCAATTGGTAGAAGGAGGAGTAGCCCATTAAACTTATAAAGTGGGTCTATTTTCCATGTATGAACGACTTGTGACAACTCACAAGTGATATTCAAACAGTATGACATACTCTAATGATTAGGTCATGCATATTTATAAAAATAGTCTAGTTTAATGGTTAGGTCGACCTCACACATTAGCTGTTGTTAATTAATTTAAAAAGAGGCTCAAACTACTATGAGATTATTAGTTAGTGAAGGTCATCAATCATTACATGCTAGTGAATATATTAATCCAATACCTAACTCAACTTGTATAAAAAAAGATAATATGGCTAAGGATATGTAGTAATGCTAAGGAGCCAACAGCCAATGTGACAACTCCATGTGGGGTTGTCCCACATGGCTCCAATGTGGAATAGCCCCACATGAAATTGTCTCATTGACTGTTGACTTCGTAACAGAGCTAACAGTTGGCTCCTTAACATTACTGAAGGATATGACGAAAGAAAGTTATAAACATGAGTTAAGGTACATATATGCTATTAACAAAAGTAATAAAAGAAAAGGGTGGTGCCATTGATGTTGAATGGTTTAGGAGGTGGCCAAGTGTTGCTCTTTGATGCTAATGGTGGGGTTTGGTTATTTTTAATTTAGTCCACAGATAGAATACCCGAATAATTGTAGACAACCAAATGACTTGGATGGTTTTATTCGTGTTTTTCTAAATACAATTTTGTTTGTTAGGTAATTGTATATCAATTTGTTGTTGAGTGTTTTAGCCACTTAATCTTGACCAACTTTTAATTAGCCTTATTGTCTCCTGCCTATTCCTTAGCATTTTGAAATTATTGATATGATGATATATTATTTGATTGAATGAACACACCCATTTGAAATATGGCGTTTGCATTTGACTGGGATTAAAAACTGCTAATATATATAATTATTATTATAAAATAAATAAGATTTTTGTTAGTTACAATTTTGAAACGAATTGTAAGGGCTAATATTGTGATATCACTCTTCAGTTTAACATGGGCCGTAATCCTGAAACTTGTGGCATTAATTTTACTTTTATCTATAATACGTGTATTGCATGAGTATTATTAAAAATTATATTTAAAACTTAAAAACAATGAAAAAAATTGTTTTCAGTGTTAAATAATTGTTTGAAAAACTATTATTATTTATATTAAAAATGCATTCGCCGCTTATACGACTTACTCATCTTATACTACTACGTACTCGTGCGATGCACAACATAACATTATTAATAATTTTATGATAGTTATGATTCGTGAAAGATATATTAAAAAAGAAATATCGTGTTAACATTAAAATTAATTTTATAGATTAAATATTGGGCAACATTAATATAGTTTACTCATATTTATTTGTCAAAGAATATTCGCTCCTTGAAATAAAGACGTGTGCTATCATTAACCAAATATCCGGTTATTGATATAGAGTGGTTACCAAAAAATAGAACGCGATAAGGACGCTTCACGGAAATATCAATAGGATAAGATCATAACAGACCGCTATACATTTTAACGATAAAAGCTCATATAGAATAATTTAATTAGATGTGTGAAAATGACATAATTAATGAGAAGTGTGAAAATGACATAATTAATGAGAGGCGTGAAAAGGACAAAAACTTACCGATTTTGGAAAATATTTAATCCAAATCCGACATTGACCATAAGTTGACCTACTATTTTGGATAAATGTTAATTCTTACTAGTGTGTAGCCCGTGCTAGGCACGGATAAATAATACTAATAACCCCAACCTTCAGCGAGTAGGTTCTCCGCCTTCGGTTCTGGGAGTTTGGTTAGACCATGATATTATTGGAGTGTCGTATCTCCGTCGAGTCCTAATATAGGCTTATGGCCTCTTTCATTGTACCAAAAAAAAAAAATAATAATAATAATACTAATAATAATTATAAATTAAATATTAGGATAAGCAATATTAACTATAATTATAAATTAAAGATGTGGGGTTACATGTGATAAAATTTACTTTATATAATCTATTGTAACAATATAAAATTATCTTATATAAAGAACATAAAAAAATTTATGTCTAAAATATTAAAATTGAGAGTAGATTTACATATTATATATAAAATAAATATTGAGATGATACTGAAAATTATTTCGTCATCAATTTGAGTATAAAATAAACGGAGGTTTAATAACTCCATGCTTTATGCATATGCTTCATTTATCAATTTTATATAATAATTTTAAAATCTAATTATCAAAATTTGTATTCAATTGTATAAAATAAACGGAGACTTAACAATTCTACGTTGCATATACTTCATTTATTAATTTTATGTAATGATTTTAAAATCTCGTTGTTATTAAGATTTTTACTCAAACACGTATCAACAAAGTACACATCTTTGAGATTTATGATGAAATACGAATAAATGATTTCTTTATAAAAGAAATCCGTATTTATTTATTTTTGAAAATCAATGCAAACTCACAGAGAGTTTTTGTTCTTAACAAACTCGTACAATTCTAATTGAATCATATTATTCCAATTTGAATTTCATGATGGTTTTAAAATCTGTACA